TACCGGGACCTTACCCCTCCCATAACCCCACTACTGGGTCCTTACCCCCTCTCATAACCCCAGTACCGGGACCTTACTCCTCCCATAACCCCACTACTGGGACCTTACCCCTCCCATAACCCCAGTCCCGGGACCTTACCCCTCCCATAACCCCAGTGCCGGGACCTTACCCCTGCCCCCATAACCCCATTACTGGGATCTTACCCCTCCCATAACCCCAGTGCTGGATGAGAGGCGTCACCACCACTGGCTTCTTTGGAAGACCCTAGAATACAGGAAAGGGCACATGGCAAGGCCGTGGGGGTGGGGGAACTTGAGAATGCTTCCTAAGTTGTAATTTGCATTGTGTTTGTGTCTGAAATTAAAGCAGTAGGAAAAATGCTCATCCCATGCCAAATGGGAGGTGGTGGCTGGGGACTCTGCCTCCCCTAGGCCTTGACCTAAGAGAGTCATGAATGTGTGTCTGGCTGTGTGCATACGTGTAGGTGTGTGCGCTGGGTGTAGAGTCTGTTATCTAAGCTTTTCTAACGTGTACAGTGTAGCCCTGTGCTCCGGGAGCTTTGGTGGAGGGGTGTGTGTCGCAATGGAGAGTCTCTGGTGACCATGACATGGCCAGCTCAGCAGCAGCAGCTTTTGTGACCACTGGCACATAATGACAGGGTCCTCCCTGTGTCACTGAGAGCCATTCTGTGTGGTCGATTTGGCTTCGCTTTCTCTGCTTTGCCGCTGCCCTAACGTCATGTTCTCTTGTTTTATGTGCAGCTTGCTGTGGGCCTGACAGCATTGAGTCGATGCAGGCTTCAACTTAAAACAGTTGGGAGTCTGTGTGTCTGTTTATCTGCCCGTCTGTGTGGAGGGGCTGGAGCAGGAATGCTTGCTCTGGATCTAAAGGCCAACCCGTGAGAGAAGATGGGAGGATGCCTTGCTGATGTGGGGACTAAGGGATGTTTGTGCATGCTCCTGGCTTTCCCTACTTTCAGTCACTCAGTATAACCCAGAGTTCCACCCCATGGCATGGCACTGTCGCGGGATAGTTGATCTCACTGTGACATAAAGTTAACCTTGTATCAGGGGGCAGAGCCAGAGACTAGTTGACAAGAATTAGTCATAGAGACTGCAGAGGCCTTAGGATATGGATAGAGAGGCACCAGAAGGAGTAGGGAAAGACTTGGAGATCAGTCCTTTCTGGTCTGGGAAGTGGAGAGAGGTCAGCTGGCC